AAAAAAAAAATAATGAGAAAAAAGAATGGCTCAACTGCTAGGTTTTTAATTTTCGACATAGCGGTACACACATTAACTGATATTCAACGAGAAAAAAGAAAAAAAAAAGCAGGCAGGCATTTTGCCGTAATTGTGAAATGTCGGGAGTTAAGCCAATTGATGGAAATCTCTTTTCACCAAGTAAAAGGTAACACTGAGTTGGCAAACTCAGACACTACAACAGTTTATCTCGCCTCTTTGTTTTATCCATTAATTATTGTTTTCAACACAAATGAAGCTCTCCCCACAACTTTCGAATAAACAGTGCATCCAGGATCAAAACCCGACAAGTATTCTTCATACCCTAAACGCTTCCCACCCTATGGTGGCTGTTATCAGATTCTACATCGATGTGAAAAAGTGAGACAAATCTTGGCATTTTATCAGAAAATAGTCAACAGTCCTCTTCGCATTCGCGAAGAGAAATATCTTTTGTTGCTGGCAACTAGCCAATGCGTTAAATAATTCTTTGAGGAATGATCATTTAATAATTACAGGTGGTTAGACATTTGAACAGTTTTTGGTTTTAACGTGTCTTCTTTTCTCTTGTATGAAAAGAGATGTTCTATAATACTTTTTTACTAATGCGATCAGTCTTGCTCTTCTAGTCTTGAAATAATTCAAGCTAATGAAAGAAAATAGATTTTTTCAAGTCCAAATTTTGGAGTCCCCTAGGTTGTTCTGTGGTTGGGTCAGCCAAGTTGGACTAGATGCATTTGATACCGAGAACTTGACATCTTTAAAAATGTTGATGAGACAAAGTTTCTTCATGAAGAAAAGATTAAAGTTTAGTAAAAAACTAAAGCTTGATCTGTTTCCCAAGCGGAGCATAATAGTTTTTTAAACCAGCACTTGCTACAGGAGAGAGAGGCGGGGTAGCTAAACTTCCTCACGCAATAATACCTCACCTTAAGTTCGGCACAGAATTATTTTTTCACTGTGTTTTTTTGACGGTGTTCAATGGTTTTTTACGTCTCATAGTATCGGGATGAAAAACTTCCGCCTTTAGGTAATTTCTCAGTATACGTTAAAATTGATTGGTTTTTTACGCGGTGAAAAACCTATTTTTTCATTTGGTGGTCAGAATAACTTAAATGGTGACACCGAAATGAACAGTATTGTTTTAAAAATAGATAAATAGCGATGGAAGTATAAATTGCTCTTATTTGGGTTTCAGTACTTTACGGGATATGATCCAGTTCAATGTTGCAGAAAAGAAATTTTTAGACTGCTTTTGCTTTCAAAGATCAGTGTATTTTATTCGTGGTCCTTAGAAACGTTATGAAAGTAGCTGACTTTTACAAAACAAATGAAATTTAAGAGCATTAAGAGCAGAGGGAAAGAAGACGAAAGGAGACAACATGAAGGAAAAGTACTGTTAAGCGAGAATATCGCTGAAAAAAACCTAAAAATATTTTTTGTCTATTTTTTTGCATTATCAACGAGACACTTAGGAAGAGTTTTGTAACATTGTCGGCGATTAAACGTTTATGTGAAGCATATAATGCTTTTCATGGTTCTACTCC